GAGAAATCCAACAACTTGTCCATCTCCCAGCATTCTGTACAAGGCCATATGAATAATTTTCAAATACACACAATGACTTCAAATTGTTGACCTTGCTTCCAACAATTTTAGTGGGAAGCTGCTGCCACAATTTATCTTCAATCGGAAGATAATGATGGCCAATGAAGAAGAAGCATCATCCAAGCTTAATCACCTGCGCTTTGAATTCTTATCACTCAACCATTTTTACTACCAAGACGTGGTAACAGTGAGAAACAAAGGTCTACAGATGAAGCTTGTGACAATTTTGAATGTCTTCACCAGCATCAACTTCTCATGCAACAATTTCCAAGGGGAGATACCGAAGGAGATTGGAGACCTCAAATCTCTTTATGTTCTCAACTTATCGTAAAATGGCTTCATAGGTCAAGTCCCTTTAACACTCGGAAACTTGAAACAACTTGAATCACTCGACCTCTCACTTAACAAACTGATAGGGGAGATCCCTCCACAACTTGCAAGCCTCACTTTCCTTTCAGTCTTGAACCTCTCATTCAATCAACTAGAGGGGATGATACTAAGAGGCAACCAAATCCAAACATTCACAGAAGCTTCATTCCAAGGGAATAAAGGCTTATGCAGGCCTCCGTTAAATGCAAACTGCATAGTTGAAGGCTTGTCACTACCAACATTTGAAATAAATAAACATTTGAATTATGGGTTTGAGATTGATTGGGATATCATAAGTACTGAAATTGGATTTGTGGTTGGGTTGGGAATCATCATATGGTCTCTTGTATTCTGCAAGAGATGAAGGAGATGGTACTATGGACATGTTGATCATGTTCTTTGGAGGATTTTTGGTATGCAACAACTAGGAAGAGGCAATCATGGAAAGAGAGGTTACAAAGCTCAGACAAGGAGGCTCTGATCTAGGTTGCCTTATTGATTAATGTTGTTAATGAGAATTGTAATTCACAATTCTTAATAATAGGTCCTAGAAACCTTTTGGTTCATCATGCTATTGATCCAAGTTAAGTCGATTGAAAGAAGAAAAAAAAATGTCAATCATGATGATCAAGTTCTTTTTCAGGATTCTCTTTCGAGAACACCAATGAATAAGAGAATTAGAAATCCTATTAGTAGACTGTGGGAATATTTTTAACAAAAATAAAATATTATTACTCCAGCACTTATTGTGTTCCAAACATTGTTTTAATTACCCATTTAATTCTGTCACGTTCTTGAAATTATTTCACTCCGTTAATACCTTCATGAGGAAAAGAAAAACAATTTTAGGATAGTGACAACGTGACTCCTAAATTCTCACAAGTTATTCTATTCTCAACTCTAATTTATTTTCTATTATTTATTTTTTTATTTATAACGTTTGTTTGGGAGGGGGTGATCATTGGTTTAATGGTAAAACCTTGACCTAATACTTTGATATTATGGGTTCAAGTCACATGACAACCACTTTGTGCACTATGACAAAGGTTAAGTGTATACCTAATCTTCCCCCCCCCCCAAAAAAAAAAACATACATTAATGTGTACTAAATGGGTATTTTTTTTTATGTGTTAATTATTCAATTTATTGTTTTGCTAGACTAACCGACCGGAGGTTGACGACAAAAAGTATGGAAAAAGAAAAAGGGGAAATAAAAATTTAGTGTAAAATTAGAGAGGGAGAATTACAGTGCAATGGGATATAGAAAAAAAAAATTATAAAAACATGTGGAGTGCAAGTTATTATGTGGTGAGGTGCAAATAAAAAACTGTAGACTTGCACCCCTTCCATATTTTTGTAATTTAAGGGGTTAGCTGGAAACAAGTTTCACTTGGGCAGCAAGAAAACGGCTGCGCTAACTATTGCTTTCTTCACTCCTTCGATTAGCTACAGGGGCAGGCAGGGATTCTTTCTCTTCCCTCTCTTCATCCTCGCTTGCCTATAGCTCTAGCTGCCTTGCCTTAGCTAGCCCTTTCAGACTTGCTTTCCTTGCCTTGTGATGAGTGGATCCGAAACGCCCACCGCCCTCCTTTTCATCTGAATTTCGCTCGTCTGATCAATCACACTAATAGCTTCAATAGTCCACTGAGATTTTGTGTAGTTTTTTTGGTATTTTACCAGTTACTAATCCAGTATACGTATAATAGGGATGTAGTTTCCCCAATAGGAAAAAAGATTACACATAAGTGGTAAACTTTGTAAACATTAATAATTAAAATTCTAAACTTTTTCATGTATTTGTAAAAAAAAAAAAAAAAAATTGCTAAAGCCCACTGGGCTGTAATTCCCCAAAGAAAAGTTTCATGTTAGTATTACTGTCGGATGAGTTATTGGTCACATAGCATCGGTAAACCATATTATACAAAAAGAGGATGAAAAAGCAAAAGAAAGATTATCAGGTGACTTGTAAGACATATTTGACAATCCATAAGTTTAGGTTAGCTTATTTTACCAAGAGAAGCGGCCAAAAAAAACAACAACTTAACCATATTATTCAAAAATTAAAAAAAAAAAATTAAAAAAACTCTTTCCAGTCTATCCTAGTAATTTTTTTTTAAAGGAAATGCTTAGCTCAGAAAATGCTACACAAACCACTTCCCAAAAATAAACAAACAAATCGAAGCATATACTGATGAAAGTAGAAACCTCAGTCTCAGAAAATGTTTTGCCACTGTTACATGTTGTTCATAGTTTGTACAAAAAAGGCAATGTTTTCCTTATTCACAAACAGGTGGGGCAAAAGTTCTTGAAAACTGCAGAAAGAAGATATCATATTTTCCTCCTTTCAACCCGTGCTTGACCGAATAAGCATGTAGTTTGCGAGTCATTGTGTGTATTTGAAAATTATTCATACAGCCTTGTACAGAATGCCAGGAGATGGACAAGTTGTTGGATTTCTCTAGCATAAAAAATTCCCCACTCCCAACTTGAACTATTCATTTCATTTCCATTGTGCTTGTGCTTCACAATACCCTTAAACATGAGAATTGCATTCTTTGCTTGGCTTTTCTCTATTCACTATTCTCTTGATCTTCTGCATTAGTATTGTTCCAGTACACAGCCAATGCCTCAATGATCAGAGCTCATTGTTGCTCCAATTGAAGAACAGCCTCACATTCAATTGAGCAGTTTCTGTCAAGTTGCTAAATTGGACTCAAACAAACGATTGTTGTAGTTGGAAGGGTGTGACTTGCGACAAGGCAGGTCATTTAACTGGTCTAGACTTGAACAGAAAATCAATCTCCGGTGGAATCAACCACTCAAGTATTCTTTTCAGCCTCCAGTTTCTTCAAAACCTGAATTGGGCTCACAATAACTTCACCTTCACACAAATTCCACCAGGTTTCAGCAAACTTACCAGACTGACATATCTGAATTTGTCAAATGCAAATGTTGCTGGGCAAATTCCAATTGAATTGTTATACATGACAAATTTGGTTACTCTTGATTCGTCTACTCACTACTTCTCCAGAGTTCCATCCCTGAAACTTGAAAACCCAAATTTACTAACCCTTGTTCAAAACCTCACGGGCCTTAAACAACTCATACTTGCCGGGGTAAATATTTCAACCCAGGGTAGCCAATGGTGTGAGGCCATTTCATCTTCACTGCCTTATCTGCAAATCTTGAGCTTATCCAATTGCTATCTTTCAGGCCCTATTGATTCTTCTCTTCAAAAGCTTTAGTTTCTTTCCAACATCTGACTGAGTCAGAATAATCTGTCTGCTCTAGTTCTGGAGATCTTTGCAGACTTGCCGAATTTGAGATCCTTGCATCTCTACTTTTCCAGCTTGTATGGAAAGGTTCTAGAAAAGATATTCCAAGTATCAACGTTGGAGGCCCTTGACTTGTCAGAAAATAGTTATCTTTTGGGGCTTTTGCCACAGTTTCCTTCAAATGGATCCCTTCATACCCTGGTGCTTAGCAACACAAATTTTTCAGGGACATTACCAGATTCTGTTGGTAATCTGAGAGTGTTGTCTAGAATCGAGCTTTCAAGATGCAATTTCAGTGGACTAATTCCAAATTCCATTGCAAACCTTACTCAACTTCTTTATTTGGACTTGTCATACAACAATTTTACTGGTACAATCCCATCCTTTCAGATGTCCAAGAGTATCACATACATAGACCTATCTTGTAATGCTCTACAGGTCATGTTCCCTTCCACTCACTTTCAGGGCCTTTCAAATCTTCTAAATATTAATTTAGCATACAATCCATTCAATGGGAATATCCTTTGTCTTTGTTTTCACTACAATTGCTGCAAAAAATTCAGCTTTGCAATAACCAATAAGGCAATATGGTGGTCCAGCTATTGAATTTTCTAAGGAATCCTTGCCTTCATTGGATACACTAGATTTGAGTAGAAGCAAATTACAAGGATCAATTCACTCATCTTTCTTTGAACTTCGAAGTCTAAATGTCCTCATGCTTTCTTTCAACAACTTCAGTGGCACCATGCAGCTAGAAATGATCCAGAGGCTCCAAAATCTCACAGAACTTGAGCTTTCATACAATAGCTTGTTAATTGATGCAAGTGATAGTAAGGCGAGCTTGTCTTCCTTTCCCCAACTTGACAAATTAAAAATGGCTTCTTGCAAGCTGCAAAGAATTCCTGAGCCACGGAACCAATCAAGAATGATTATTTTGGAACTCTCAGCCAACCAAATTTTAGGGAGAATAACAAACTGGATTTGTAAAATTGGATCTCTGATGCAGTTGAACGTCTCTCATAATCTCATAGTAGATATGGAAAAACCATATAAATTTCCTAGTCTTTTTGTCCTTGACGTGCATTCTAACCAACTTCATGGGGAAATTCCAATACCACCAGAGTTTGTTACGTATGTGGATTACTCTAGCAATCATTTCAACTCTTCTATACTTGCTAAAACTGGCACAAGCTTACCTTTGCTTATTTCTTCTCTCTTCAAGTAATTTGCTCCTAGGAACCATCCTTGAATCAATATGCAACGCAAGCTTCCTCAATGTTCTTGATTTATCCAATAATAATTTCAGTGGCACAATACCTCTGTGCTTGATTGAAAGGAGTACTGAGACTCTTGGGGTGCTAATTTGAGAAATAACAATCTTGGTGGTAAGATCTTGGGCACATTTCCGAAAAGTTGTGCTTCAAAGACACTAGACATCAGTAGAAATCATTTGGAAGGGCAGGTTCGCAA